GTCTGCCCACTAGGAGGCTGGTACACAAGGGAGAACATCAATGGATTAAAAAACCCACTGAGTCTGATCCAGGCCAGTAATTGCTTGAACCCCTGAAGCATGGGGATTGAGTATTCTTCTCTCTTGAGTTCCTGCTTTCTGGTTTTACTGACGTATTTATTTATTTTTATTAGAAAAGCGACATGTACTCAAAGTGAGCATCTGACAAGCGCAAAATGGTATCACTCGGGAGAAACAAATCATGCACATCTAACCACAGTCTGTGCTCACATTGTTGCTCTTCTGTCTTATTCGTGTTTGTTTTATAGAGCTAAGTTGATATTATATATTTAAGGCTATATCTTGCCTTCTCTTAGTGTAGCCTTATATGAACTGCCCCTATGTCTTTAATGATTTTTCACAAACACTATTTTAATGGGTACATAGTAGACTGTAAACCAATGGCCCTCTTTTAGATTGCTTTACTTTACTTTTATATTTTTATAAGCAACACTACAATAAATATATTCTTGCTTAAGATGCTGATTTGGGGCTTTTTTTTTCATTAATAAATTCTGAAAGAGGAAATTCTGGGGCTCTGGGACACATAATTTTCTTTCATTTTTTAAAACTTACAGTATATTGCCCAGAGAGTGTATTTGAAAATTCACTATTTTTCCAAATATTTAGCTCTACAGTTGTAATATTTTGGCTCTCATAGAAGAAAATCTTATTCTCTAAGATGGTTCAACACTAATACTATATTCCAACTATTGATACTGTAGAATAGATCAAATGATTCTCTTTCACATGATAAATGCCCCCACAGGAGCACCATGCATGTAATGTGGACATAGGCAATACACATGTGAATCACCACATTTATAGCTGGGAAGCAAATTTTAGTAAGGAAGTGACAGAGGAGCAGACAGCTGTGTCCAGTTTTACATGATCATCAGATTTTTGACACTTTCAAGGTATCAACCTTGAACATCCATTCAAGGGCAAGAAGAGATGGCCAATAGGGGAGAAAACTCCTGTATTTTAAACTCACACATTCCATAGGAAGTGAGTTAAAGAGTTACACCTAAAACACTTGTATTTAAAAAAACAAAGTTCTTACACACACACACACACACACACTCACACACACACACACACATGCAGGTTTTAGAGAGAGAGAAAATAGATTCTTCCATGTGCAGCGTGTTTATTTGTATACTTTTGTTCTAGTAAGAATCTTTATAGAGTGTTGCTGAATGCCAAAGTCACTTGCATATTCTCACTTGGATCCTTTGGCTTAGTGTCCAGAGGATAAACAAGAGGGCCGTGATGGGCCTGTCAACAGTCAATCATATAGCAGGAGGAGCCCACTTGCCTATCCCTCTTTGGTGAACTATAGCCTACCAATGGATTCTGGATGAGGGGCAGAGATTATCTTCAGTTTGTCCCCATTGATGAGCCCGCTATGTTCCCATGGATAGATGCAAACTCTAGGTCGCACATATAGACCTAGTTAAACTTAGTGGCTATAAAACAAAATGGTATGAATAGGGAAAAGGGATTTGTGGAGATGAAGTGGGTGGTAGGGTGGCTGTTAAAAGGGGTGAAAGGGAGATATGGGAGATACCAGTACTCAGAATATATTATTTGTGTAGAACATTTTTCAAAGAATAGATTTAATAAAGGATTTAAAAAGATGACTTCAAAAGACTGGGAAGATAACTCCAGTGGGTTAAGTCTGGATTTTCTTTTCTTTTCTTTTTTTGCGATTTCTTTTTTTAAATTAATTTTTATTGAGCTCTATATTTTTCTCTGCTCCCCTTCCTGCTTCTCCCCTCCCCTTCAACCCTCTCCCAAGGTCCTCATGCTCCCAATTTACTCAGGAGATCTTGTCTTTTTCTACTTCCCATGTAGATTAGATCTATGTAAGTCTCTCTTAGTGTCCGTATTGTTGTCTAAGTTCTCTGGGATTGTGGTTTGTAGGCTGGTTTTCTTTACTTTATGTTTAAAAACCACCTATGAGTGAGTATATGGGACAATTGTCTTTCTGTGTCTGGGTTACCTCACTAAAAATAATGTTTTCTAACTCCATCCATTTTCCTGCAAAATTCAAGCTGTCATTATTTTTTTTCTGCTGTGTAGTACTCCATTGTGTAAATGTACCACATTTTCCTTATCCATTCTTTGGTCGTGGGGCATTTAGGTTGTTTCCAGGTTCTGGCTATGGCAAATAGTGCTACTATGAATATAGTTGAGTTCTTGTGGCACAATTGAGCAACTTTTAGATATATACCCAAAAGTGGTATTACTGGGTCTTGAGGAAGGTTGTTTCCTAATTTTCTGAGAAATCGCCACACTGACATCCAAAGGGGCTGTACCAGCTTGCATTCCCACCAGTAATGCAGAAGTGTTCCCTTTATACCACAACCTCTCCGGCATAAATTGTCATCAGTATTTTTGATCCTGGCCATTCTTACAGATGTAAGATAGAATCTCAGAGTTGTTTTGATTTGCATTTCTCTGATGACTAAGGATTTTGAACATTTCCTTAAGTGTCTTTTAGTCATTTTAGATTCTTCTGTTGAGAGTTCTCTGTTTAGGTCTGTACTCCATTTTTTTTATTGGATTATTTGTTTTTTTGATGACCAATTTCTTGAGTCCTTTGTATATTTTGGAGATCAGACCTCTGTCTAATGTGGGGTTAGTGAAGATCTTTTCCCATTCTGTAGGCTATCATTTTGTCTTGTTGACCATGTCCTTTTCTTTACAGAAGCTTCTTAGTTTCAGGAGGTCCCATTTATTAATTGTTTCTCTCAGTGTCTGTGCTACTGGGGTTATATTTAGGAAGTAGTCTCTTGTGCCCATGCATTCAAGTGTACTTCCCATTTTTTTTTCTATAAGGTTCAGGGTGGCTAGCTTTATGTTGAGGTCTTTGAGTTTTGTGCATGGTGATAGATATGGATCTATTTTCATTCTTCTACTTATTGATATCCAGTTATGCCAGCACCAGTTGCTAAGTATGCTTTCTTTTTTCCATTTGATAATTTTTGCTTCTTAGTCAAAAATCAGGTGTTGGAAGATGTGTGGATTGATATCCAGATCTTCTATTTGGTTCCATTGGTCTCTCTGTCTGTTCTTACACCAATACCAGGCTGTTTTCAGTATTGTAGTGCTGTAGTAGAGTTTGAAGTCAGGAATTGTGATGCCTCCAGAAGCTCTTTTATTGTACAGGATTGTTTTGGCTATCCTGGGGTTTTGCTTTTCCATATGAAGTTCCATATGATTCTTTCAATGTCTGTGAAGAATTTTGCTAGGATTTTGATGGGCATTATGTTGATTCTGTGGATTGCTTTCTGTAAGATTGTCATTTTTACTGTGTTAATTCTGCCTACCCAAGAGCATGGGAGATCTTTCCATTTCCTGGTGTCTTCTTCAATTTCTTTCTTCAAAGATTTAAAGTTCTTATCATACAAGTCTTCCACTTGTTTGGTTAGAGTTACTCCAGGATATTTTAAGGTATTTGTGGCTATTGTGAAGGGTGTTGTTTCTCTGATTTCTTCACTAGCCCTTGTATCATCTGTGTACAGGAGAGCTACTGATTTTTTTAACTTATCTTGTATCCTGCTATATTACTGAAAGTGTTTATGAGTTGCAGAATTCCTTGGTAGAATTTTTGGGATCACTTATGTAAACTATCATATTATCAGCAAACAGTGAGAGTTTGATTTCTTTTCTGATTTGTATCCCCTTGATCTCTTTTTGGTGTCTTAGTGCTCTAGCTAGGACCTAATGTTCTTGGAGATAGCTCAGCACTCCCAGGGTTTTGCTCTGCTTCCTTGGAGTTTGCTGTCTCAGACCTACTTTGGCCTAGGTTTCTGGCTTTGACCTGTTTCTGTAAATCCTGGTCTGGATCCACTCTTGCAGAGGTCCCTGGATTGGAGTTGGTCCTACAAAGCTCTCTGACTCCTGTGTACTGCCTCAGAGTTCCCAGGCTCAGGTGTGCCCAGAACCACAGAGGACCTGGCTCAGGCTTACTCTCTCAGAGGTCTCAGTCTCATGTCTGGACCCATAGAGGTTTCAGGATCCTCCCTATTCCCTTTGATGTCCCAGACCAATGTCTGAACACACAGAGGTCCTGGCTCATGCCTACTCCCTCTGAGGTCCCAGACTCACACCTGCCTAAGTCTGGGTTTTCAAAACCCATGGAAGGTTGGATCCAGAAGCTTATGTCTGTAATTCCAGCATGGTGATGGTGAGATGGGAGGCTGAAGCAGGAGAATCCTGGAAATTTCTTGGTCTAACCAGGCATATGTAGTGGTGAACAATAAGAGACCCTGTCTCAATAAAGAGGCAAGGTGAAGACCAATACCGGAGGTTGTCTTCTGACCTGGACATGTGTGCACACCTGTATCAGCACCCTAGCTCCTGATCTAAAAAAGAGGTTTATGTACTTTTATGTACTTCAGGCCTAACTAGATTCCCAAGTTCAGAAATTCACAAATGAAAACATCCCCTGTGCTCCCAGCAACTATCTCTCCATGGATGTATTTGTGAGTGTAAAGTTCAGGGAGGCTTTAGGGATGGAAGCATTTCTGATTTTCTACTTTCATAGATATTTTCTACATTTCACTGGAATCTATTGATATGATACATTATCATAAATCAGGGCAATTCATTCATTAACCTATGATAAATTTCACTACTTCAGAGCATGCTAAGACTTAGCACAGTAGCAAAGGTATTTACTTGACAGGAACAAACACAATCATTCTACATTGAAATTCATCTCATGTTCATATAATATGAAAAGAGCCTGTGTGTTCCATAAAATTGTTACTATAAGCTCTCAATGAGAAAGTTGTTCTTCTGACTTCCAGATGGCAATGAGGTTCAAAGGAAGCAGATGATTTGCTCAACATCTCACGGGAAATAAATTGTCAGCTGAGAGCAATTCTGACTCTAGCCTCTTTGGTCTGACTACTGTCAGAAGGTAGAAGGCTAAGGACGCTTGTCCTTACCTGTGGGCTTGACCAGCACAGCTAGGAAGTCAGTGGTGAGGGAGCTGACGTAGAGGAGGATGCAGGGAGCCTTGGTGGTGCTGAAGCTGAAGTGGATCTGCTCCTGGGCCAGGTCTGGAGACGAGGGCTGCTGCTCTGCAGGATTCTCAGCCTTGCTGCCTGAGTCTCTAGCAGTTAGCACCGGTGCCTGGAAGTTATAACGCAGCCACACGCCCTCTTCAAAAAAGGCACCGACATCTGTTGAGAAGGAAAGGCAAACTTGAAAAATGATGCAAGAGATCTGGGCTCTAGGCCAGCTATGCTTTGAATTCAGGTTGAACTGTTGTCATAAAAAATACGCCATGTAAAATTAAAATAAAATTAGTAATAAAAAAAGTTAATGTGGAGGTGTATGCGTGGAATCCCCCAGCCTCAGGAAGCTGAGGCAGGAAGAGTTGCTGTTCAAGGCCAGGCTGGGCTACATAGCAAGACACTGCCTAGAAACAAAACAAGGACTAAAAGTTAAGGAACTAGCATCATATTAGAAAGAGAAATAATATCTAATATCTTTGGCTTTCTGGCTGAAGAGACTCCTGAAAATAAGGGCCGCATTATAACACAAACTTTGAAAAGAAGTCCAAAGAGAACTAGTCCTTGAGACCAAATTTGATTTGAATATCCAAATAGCAAAGCCCTCAATAAGTTCTAAGACTTGGGAAAATTTGAGGAATTCAAATCACCAGACAGGATGTTAGAGAGACCAGGTTTCAACTTCATTTCTGTGGTTCCTGACCTGCCTTCCTAGAAGTTCTTAACCACCCTCTATCGGCTGCAGAGAGTAATTAGTACTCAATAAACAGGACCTATTAGCATTACTGTCCTTATTACTAAGAAATGATTCAAAAGATCCCTGGCTCTCTGAGTCAGCCCTTTCCCACAGTCTAATCAGAGCTAATTGGCATGTAATCACGTCCTGTCAGGCGAGTCCTTTTGTGGATTCCCTGCTGTCTGCCAAGCACAGTCTCGAAATCACCAGAAGTCACTTGAAGGTTGAGGCAGCCTAAAGATACCCTTGGGCTTCAGTGCCACCGCTTTCTGGCTCTTTTCTTGCCACGTCCCCAAAGTATTTCTCAAATCTCATTGTCAATGCACCCCACTCTTCCTGCAACTCTGGACACCCATCTAAATTCATCCACAACTTACTTCATAAAACACTACTCCATGCTGTACATGACAACGTGTACATGACACGTTTTTAAAAGTTATTATTATTATTATTATTTTCTGAGACAGGCTTTTCTCAAACTTTCTGTCTTCCTGCTTTAGCCTCCGAGGGCTAAGATTACAAGCCAGTGTCACCACCACATACCATGGTTTTCTTTCTTTCTTTCTTTCTTTCTTTCTTTCTTTCTTTCTTTCTTTATTGTGTGTGTGAGAGCACGCATGCGTGCGTGTGTGTGTGTTTGTGTGTGTGTGTGTGCTGAGGGGGAGACAGTATCTTGAGTGGCACAGTGCATATGTAGAGAGATCAGAGGGCAACTTGTGGGAATAGGTTTTCTCCTTCTACTGTGTGGGCCCCAGGACGGAACTCAGGTCACTGGGCCTGTCAGAGAGCACCTTTCCCTGCCGAACCATCTTGTCAGCTCTAGGACTTTAGTTTTTAGCGACATGCTTTCACCTGGGAACTCTGGCATTTCTTATTCCTGAAGAAGTAATTACAGAAGAGTGGCGTCACATGCCCCGGAGAGACTTTCAGTCTCGTCAAATGCACTAACTTGTGTCAATGACTCGAAACTCTCCGTTTCCTTCTTTGTGCACTGTGAAGATCAAATAACTATGCATGGGTGACCTAGTGTCAGGTTCCTGGAAATACTAGTGCTTAGTAAAAATGAAATCACTGCAGTTTCAAGACTGCCCACTACTGTCTGTTATGGGTGGCAGACATTCCCTTGAACCATCACTGCTTGCTACTGCACAGATGCCGTAATCCAGTGTCAGCCCACAGGGGACATCTCCACAGAGCTCACTGGTTCTTAGTTGTGAAGAACCCAGTTGACTCTAGATTCTCACCACAGGAAGCATTATCTTTTTTTTCTGACCTTTTTGCCACAAGGACATTTGCCATTGATGTGTTTGAAGGTATATATGGCATTGTCAAGTGATGGGAAGTGTACTTAGCACATCTAGTGTACATAAAAAGATAGCAATGTTGGAGGACATCTTATAGTTCAGGATTGCCTTGGTCAAAATTCAAAGGTATCCTTATTTGGAGACACAGAATTGAACATATATGTTATTCATGCTAACTGCTACATGTTTACAGGGATGCAAAGATGAGTAAACGCAGTCTGTCCCTGGGGGACCTTGCTGCATGGCAGCGAGTCTGACACCTGTGGGAAGAGACACTTCCTTTCTCGGCACAGCACGGTGGGTGTTAAAATGCCCATGGAAGGCATGAGGGGAGGGCCTCATCTTACCATTTAGCTTAGTAGCTCATTGTTCCAGCAAACACCTATTGAACACTGACTGTGTGGCACAGATGGTATTGGATACTGAAGTTTCAATCTTTGCTCTTACGGAGCTCTTGATATTGAGGATTTGCATACTCAAGCAAGTAGGAATGCACAGGTATACAGGGTCCCTGAAACACAGTGAAAACTGCTCTGTGTCTCGGGCCAAGGAAGACTTCCTGTGGAAAAAGACATTCACACTTGACTCCAAAGAACCAGTGATGATAGCTATGTAAAGGTGGGATCATGAAGATTCCAGAATGGACACCAGAGTGGAGAACTTGCTGTAACCAGGGAGCTTTCAGGCCACATCATACCCACTCAGCACAGTCCACATACTCCTTATGCATCCGTGGTTCCCCTTGAGGCTCCTGAGGCTTCCATCCTGTTTCAGGATGGGCGTTGGATTACAAGGAGAGCTCTCCACCCTCTGGAGTTAAAAATCTCGGGAGCAGATAGCTGCTCCCAGGGTAGGCCTCTGGAATAATGCTTCACAGAACAGAGAAAGTAGGACACACTGCCTGGAACAAATCCTCCGAGAGGATCTCTTGGCATAGAGAGCTTTGTCAAAGGATGGAGGGCATCCTTTAAGAACAGGCTCTGGTTTATGAGAGAGAAGAGGGGAATGTGGTAGGATAGGCTGAAGAGAGGAGCAGAATCCATAGGATTCAAGCAAAACAGAGGCAGGCTGGAAAGCAGGCTATGCAGCCAAAGACACCAGGATTTTGCAATTCGAGGCTGAGGGCTTGGGAGGGAGGGTTGGAATAGCAGAGGCCAGTCACACAGGGCAAGTCACCGTGGCCCTTAACCTACAGCAATGCAGCAATCCCTTTGAAAAGCTTGAGCTTCTATGTGTCAGGATCTCCCCAGGCATCCTTTTCCCAGAGCTAGGATCTGAAGTCGATGAGGAGTAGAGCTAGCCCCCTGTCATTTCTCTAATCACCCCATTTGAACCCATTAACACACTGATTCCCCAGTCTGGGGTCTAGAATCACACTCAGAGGTTCTGACTCAGTGGGCCTAGACAATCAGCAGTTACCCAGGTGATATGCATACAACATTTAAGATATTTGGAGTAAAAGGTGAATCAGAATGGTACTGGATGGCAGGTGGCTGAGTCATCCTTGCCTGGGTGGCGTTACATATTCATTCGCTAACCCTGAGACAGCATTCCACAGAAGATCATGGAGGGAAAGTCAGAAATCTAAGGCCTTACATAAACAATCTGAAAACATGCCTCTGAGAATTCTTTTGTATATTTTAGAGTCATCATTTTAAAAGCTTTATGGATTCATGTCCGCTTCGGAGGAAGGAACAAACCAGGCTTAAATGTGTTACCCTGAAACCACATCATAAACCAGCTGTTAGACTGAGGCCCCAGAGCAATGGAAATCATTTAAGGTTCCAAGTGGCAGATTTACTGCTGTCATTTCATCGTTTCAGACTGGTTTAAGAAAATGCCAAATCGGATACATTATTATCTCTTAAGTAACATCTCCATCCCTTCTAAACGAATAACTAAAAGAATCCTAATTTAACAATGCCCAAATAGCGTCATTTCCTTCACTAAATTATCCAAAAGCATTTAGAATGCTTGAATCTCTCTCTCTCTCTCTCTCTCTCTCTCTCTCTCTTGTGTGTGTGTTTGTGTGTGTGTGTGTGTGTGCTGTGGTAGGCTTGTATAGGTCAGAAGATAATGTTGGGTGTCTGTCCATGCCTTCCACTTTGTTTGAAACAGGTTTTTTTTTTTTTTTGGTTCACTGATGCATGCACCGGACTGACTGGCCTGTGAGTTTTAGTTCATTATTTTTCCTCTGCCTCCTAACTCCTGCTAGGATCACGCTGTGACTAGAGAGATGTATGTCCTACTGTATTTGGCTTTTACATGACTTCCGAGGATCTGAACTCAGGTCAACAGGATTGCATGACAAGGGCTTTATCCATTGAGGCGCCTCTTTAGCCATGATTCCAGTTTTTCTACTAATAAGAAATTCTTATTCATTTTTTATAGAAAAGTGGCTAAGTTTATATCTAAGTATTGTTTCATATGTTATGAATTATAGTTTCTGATTTATGCCACATTTCTCAAAATTCAAATACATTGTACCCTCTTAGGATGGTTTCAGATCAGAAAGTTTCCAGGAACCATCAAGTCAACAGGTGACCTTGTTTTATTTCTTAGTCTTTAACAAAGTTCATACGGTCATTTGAAAAAACAAATGGGAGACAGAGACCTCTGTGAGTCTGGGCGTGAGTCAGGGACCTCCAAGGAAGCAAGCCCAAGAGAGAGACCTCTGTGGGACCAGGCCCAAGCCAGGAACCTCCTTGGGAACAGACACAAGCTAGGGACTTCTGAGGGAGCAGGACCAAGACAGGGACTTCTGTGGGAACAGGCCTGAGCTAGTGACCTCTGCCAGATCAGATTTGAGCCAGCTACCTCAGCTGGAGCAGGCCTGAGGCAGCAACTTCAACAGGAAGTTTCTTTGGACTGCACCGTCAAGCAGCAGCTTTGAAATAAGCACTCAGGCTGGGAGTGGTAGTGCACGCCTTTAATCCCAGCACTCAGGAGGCAGATCTCCCTGAGCTCAAAGCCAGCCTGGACTACAAAGAATTAGTTCCAGTACAGTTAGGAATGTTACACAGAGAAACTCTGTCTCGAAATACAATAATAATAATAATAATAATAATAATAATAATAATAATAATAAACTCAGAAGGTTATATTGATTACAAATTTTTGGCTTATAA